TAAGAAGTTTTTGGTTTAAATCATTTTATTGGCAAACTTTAAATACTGGTGAGAGTATCTGACATTATTCTCGCCTTCATGTACAATGCAACTTGAATATAAACTGTATGACAAACCACTTTCGAGTGTTTTATATAGAGCAAAAAGAGTGCCACCTTACACTCAGCCCTACTTTTAAAATAAGGTCATAGAAACAAACTCTGAATATGTAAAATAAGAGTGGCAGCAATCAGAATTCACTAAACCACTTCTCAGCAACCCTTAAACAAGGAGCCCCTTTGACGTCTGTAGAATTCCAGGATGAGGCTGCAGGAAACAGGGAAAAGGAAATTCCGGTCCAAGGGGAGCGATAGGGAGCTTTCCCTGGGGTAGGCAGCAGACCGTGCCAAGTCCCCTTCCCACCCATATCTCATGAGTGAACTAGAGTAGGGGAAGGAAGTAGGGTGGGTCCTCAGATTTAACAAAAGAACCGTAGAAAACTGGGTGGGAAGAGGCAGGGTGGAGACGAAGCCCCTCAGGAAAGTCTTGCTGAACAACTGCTCACATACAATTTCTACAAGTGGAAACTGGGGGGAGTCAGTTCGGGAGCTACCGCTGGTGTGTCTAATGCACACAAAGCATAAGCTATATTTCAAGAGAAACAGTTCCAGTTTCCTGGTTAATAAATACTATACCTCCATTCCAGAAAAGAGCACCCATGTCTACACAGAACCTTCAGTAGATCTGTTTCACTGATGTAAAATGTGCAGAGTACCAAGCGCCCCGGGTTCTCCTTCCTGCCTCCCCACTTCCCATCATTCTGTCCCCTTTCTCCACGGCTGCCTGTCTCATTCATTTCTTCTTCCTCAGAGACACCATGCCTTTGTCACCTGAGCTTCCTAGCTCCTCCGTGTCCTTGCTCCAGTGACAAGTGCCGACCCTGGATCCCCCCGCCTAGCTCTACCTCACCACCCTCGCCTTCAGCTTTCCAATCCGCCAGACTGGACAGTCTTCAGTTAGAATTGTTTAAATCCAACCCAACCTTACTTTAAGAACCACATCAAATCTCATCTCTGCTATAGAGAGAATCCAGTCTCCCCAGCTTTACTCTCTGAGGGCTCTCAATGCATCCCTCCTGCAGGACTGTCATTCATCGCAACGTCTTTTCTCCACAACTAGACTAACTTCTTGAGGAACAGGAGCCGGCACAGTTATTCTAAATTCTCTATGGTGTCAACCTAAGGGGTGAGTTTGATGGATGAATGAATATGAAGAATAATATTCATAAACCAGACATATATTAAGATCCCAGACAATTTCAGCACAGCTCAGGGAAGCAAAGCTCATGTGGATTTGGGACAAAGCCCCAAAGTGAACAACCCTTCTGGGTTAAACAAAAGTGATAAACAGAGCACTCCTGGCCAGGCATGCTGTTACAGACCTATAATTCCAGCACTCAGAGAAGTAAGACTGGAGGACCATGAATTCAAAGCCACCCTGAGTCACAACAACAGCAACAACAAGAAAAAAACAACCACAACATACTTATTTCTACTCTGTATTCAAGAAACAATCAGCATTCAAAAGGTATTTAATATAAAATAGAATTTGCATTCCCAATTATCAATCACCAAGTTCCGTCATTTCATGCCTATACAGCTCTTAACATCTACCGCCTTCTCAGTTCCCACAGGCTAACACCTCTCATCAGACCGACTACAATAGCTTCATAAGATTCTCGCCAACATTTCCCTCTTCCTCACCCAAGTACTCCTCTGAACTGAAGCCAGAGAGATCTGACAAAACCCACAACTAGCCACGTCCCTTGTCTTCTTTGATGGCTCTCCTTTGCCAAAAAGACAAGTCTAAACTCACTGGGGTGGCTTACTAGGTCTTTCACAACTACATTTTAGCCTTCCTTTCAGCCCACCCTTTTTCATTCCCCATGAATCACCAATGGCTGCTTCCTCTGCCTAAAATGCTCTTCGCTGCCACGCCCTTCTCTCTGAACATCGGTCTTTCTCCAAGATCAAGTGCAGAATTCCTGCTTGCTCCTGACATAACCACAGAATTAAGACTTATAAATTCTATGCCTACATAATAGGTTAATTTCTTCAAAGAATTAATGACTGAACGTTAATTTCCCCATCATAATGTTCAGAAGATACAGTCCCATTTTTGTCTTCTTGTTTAAGTCTTCACATATTAATTATCAACACTTAGAAATGAGCGATGTTCAATTTTGCCTATAGCTAGTTAACACAAAATAGTTACGCTTAGTGATTCCCAAGAAACATGATAATTACATTTCTAATTTTCCCTCCTGAAACACCTCAGCATAAGCACATAGTGAAACACTTTTATGATTGCATGAATTTATAATCATCGCATTTGCCAATTTAAGAAAATACTAGAAATGCCCACTCAGAAGGCTCTAATCCCTTAAATTTGTAATAGGACAATAAGAGCCACAAGAACTTTGGTTTACTAACTCTATGCCATGCCCAAGTAGTTATCCTTCAAAGTTACCTCCCTGTTTGGGCATATGCATATGAGGGGAACAGAACGTGATGCTCTGCAACTGGAGAATAGGGCTGAGTAAAAAGAATAATCCAACAGGCAGTTGGGATTCTAACTTAAAATGTTGCCACTCTTCGCTTCAGCCAGGAAAGGTAGATGAGGTAGATAAAGGATTTTAAACGACGAAAGGAAGGAAATCTGTACACAATTGCAGGGTTGGGTCATTACTGTGAAAATTAGAAGAGGAAGCACAGTGGACTTGGGTTTACATTGGTGAGTTTCAGTTTCCTCTGCCCATGCTGTGTGCTTCAACTGAGTTTCCATGAGCAAGAGCACAGGCCTGAGATCGCAAAGACCCTGAAGCTCATGAACACTGTACTTAGCAAAAGTATTGTTACAACAGAGTCTCAAGATAAGAACAGTTAAAATAAGGTCAGAAGGCTTGGATTTCTAGATAATGATTGTAAGAACATATAGGCACCTGATATATAGCCATTCCTTTATGAAACAGCGCATTGGTTTTAGCTCTGGGTGCTGACTGACTCAAATGGTGCTATCCTGTACCTGGAGACCACACTGCAGCTGAGTTTACATTTGCCAGTGAGACAGGAAGGGCCCTGACAGTCACTTTTCCTTACGTTAAGCTCGATGGGAACGTCTACAGGGAAAAGCCATAATTCCAATGTTTGTCTATGCATCTTCTTTCCTCTTAGATGCAAACATTTCAGAGATGTGAATGTCATATGACATTCATGCAAGAACTAAAAAACATTACTGTGAAAACTTCTAAAAAACTCCATTTTAGAGACTTTAAAAGGTTTAAGGGCAAGAAAGAAAATAATCATAAGCCAAGCTGCAAATCTTCACACTTGAAATTTCTGGCTCTTTAAAAGGCTTCCCAAAGACTAGCACCAACTTGAGATTTCTATAGTTTGGAGGGATTTACAATGTCACTAGCAGTGACTATAATATTCTGGATTAAAATAATTACAAAACAAAGGCAACCCAGGTGTCTTGTGAACAGCACAGAGCTCTTCATGGCTGAAGCCTATATTTAGTTCCTGTGGAGTGAGACTTTACCATTTAGCTTTGAATCACTCTGTCCTATCTCAAGTTGTCCCTGGTTCAATGCATCTCAATTGCCGTCACCCATAAGATAGAGTTATCATTTAAAGGACAACTAGGAAAGAACACCCCCAATTAAACTACAGCGTGTTTTCACACCATCAACCATTAAGACTCACAGTGCATTTTGAAATCAAAAAGCAAATGAAAGCTACTGGTCTCCCGATTAAAATGAATCCTAAATAGCACCTTGAGAAGTTGAAGCTACACATTGAGATATACAAATATCCCAAGGATTTGATGGGGTAAGAATTAGGCCGTGACACAGGCAAGCTCTAGGGTGCTTTTAACACCTTAAACAAGTACCTGAACTTTCCTACAATACTCAGCAAAAGGGTAGGTGCCTGAATCTTCCATCTGTACTTTAAAGCCAACAGCTAGCCCTGCAACAGTTCAGTGTCAAGGCTCTGAAATTTTCTTATCATTCTCACCACTTGAGACAACAACTGTCAAAATGCTAAGCCAAACTGTTGAAAATATTCCATGTTAGTAAGCTGAACAGCTAGCCATGAGAGTCCCAACCCATCTCTGGCTCAGTAAAATCCTGTCAATTGTATCAACAGACTTAGGGCTGAAAAAGCGTGTAGCAGCTTCTCCCTTGGAAGGGTTTGAAAATAAAATGTGAAACAAAAATTATAGCCAGAGAAAGACAGGGAACTGTTCTCCTTTGTGAGCAGTCCTGGACAGTAAGAGTGAAGTCTTCTTACAAACAACAATCAGTGGAACACAATATACAGCAAGAGAAAGTGGCTACATTGTCCTCCCGGCCTGAGGGCAGCGTTCTCAGCTCCAGGGCTCCAGCTGAATAACTGCTTTCAGGGAACCAAGCAGCTCGTCCTTTTCCCCAGCGTTCACTGTATCCACACAATGTCACTCTTGTTGGAACACAGCATTCAGAAGCTACTGGGAAGTCTCCATCTGACCCACCCTCAGTGAGAGCAGCTATAATCTGCTTTTCTGTCCTTATCTGTTGCTAGTGACTCGGGATACATTCCTTTGGAAATGAGATCCATGACCAAGGTAAACATAAAAGTACATTGGAATAGTCTTTCAAAAATCTATGTTCTCTGTACTATTTAATGGAACAAAATTTACAGTGTGAGACTGGGAAGCTTATCAACTCAGAATCATGATAGATATGCATTCATGGCTGTCTAAATTTCTACATGGCTTACTTCTTTCTGAGAAGAGTTCTCTTACAAACCCAGTTCCAAAAACTAATAGCTGAAGAGTTCAGAGCCTCTATCATCGTCCCCAAGAAGATTGCTTGCAGAGGTAAAATCCTAAACAATTTGAAATAAAAGATTCTCGCCTTCATATATACAACCATTTCCCCACCCGTTCTAATCCACATTCCCAAGAGGAAAGGGGCTTACCTGTTCAGACTTCTCTGGTTCTTTTTTGTCTGTTTGTAAAAACTGACAGTTTTCTCTTGCCAGCTTCTGGACCAGCTCAATACGCCCAATATCATCTCTTTCTTGAAGCTTGCACATCACCCCAGCCTTAAGAGTTGGAGAAAAAGCGAAGATATACTTAAATCCACAGTCCCAGGACATGACACCACCACAAAGTTCACCTTATATGAAGTGCATTTTCCCTGTGACCTGAATTAAATCATGGCCTTTGTAAAAGATTTTGCTTTTCCAAAGTTAAATCTGTGTTATTTTAGTGTAGAGATACCGTGCCACAGACTTCAAATCGAGAGCATGTATCAGTCTGCTCTAAGAGCTGGAAGGGCAAACTAAATCATTTGCTACTACGTGTGCGCCTGATAGGCTGGTATTTGTTTGTTCCTGACAGTCTGTTTCCTGTTACATAAGCAAAGCCCAGCAAAAGGTTAAAAATTCATGGGAAAGTTAGCCAGGAACCACTCTGGCAAAAAGGGTGAAGTGATACAGAGTCCTAAAAATAACAGTCTACAACTTCCCAATTCTTTCGCTCGAGTGGATCATTCCATGGACAAATACAGTTAGCAAGAAGATTATGGGATAAACTTTTTTTCCACAACTGGAAAATTACTATAAGGACGTGAGCAAAAGCACTCACGAGCGTTTAGAAACAACCCACTAAACATCACGTATCTCTTTATACACTGAAGGTCTTAAGAAGTAATAATAGGGAAGAGGTAAGTCTAGGAGTTTAGAATAGGAAAAAAAAAAAGGTTCATTCTAACACAAAGATTACAAACTATTTCTATTCAAATTCTTTCCTAAATGGTTTACACAAACATAACATACCAAGGCAAGATCTAATAAAGAAACCTGAAGTTAACTTGGCAGGATTAGTCAAAACCACTGAATCTTTATTCACCCAATATAACCTACAGGATTTGAATATACTCAGTAATGTGACCAAATATGGGGACAGGGCTTTCGAGAACACTCAAGTTTCATGGTCACCCTCCCCCCGAAAACCCCCCTCCCCCTACACACACCCAAGACAGGATCTCTCTGTGTAACTACTCTAGCTGTCTTGGAACTCACTCTGTAGACCAGGCTGGACTTGAACACACAGAGAAACATCTTCCTCAGCTTCCCAAGTGCTGGGATCAAAGGTGTGCACCATTGCCACCCAGCCAGCTTTACAGTCTTAATGGCTGGTGTGTGAAAGGCACCCATGATATCGAATGGCATCACAGAAGTAAAACCAGATATGCAAAGCAACAACTACAACTTTATTCCCAAGGGCTCAGAAGAAAAAAATTCTCCAAGTAGCCATCACAGACCCCTAGAGGGCAGCAAGCAGAATTCTCCCACTAAAGCATGAGGTTGGGCTTTGTAACATTCCTCACAAGTGGTGTTTTTAGTTTTCTTTCCTAAGTTTCCTTGGACAAGGATCTCAGTTTATCTTAAGACATCCTGTACATGGTGGACAGCCCAGCTGCTGGAAAGCCCCCTATCACCCCAGATAACTCTTGAAGTTACTTAATATCAGTCCATGAGAATAGTATTGCCTTTTAAAGCAATTGGAACAAGGGCTATCCCTTATCCAATAACACAGTCTTTCTAGTATTAAACATATATATTTAATGCAACATCACTTAATATTCTCCAGATCCATATCTCTAGTTGTCTATTTTATCTTACACATTCATTCAATAGACTTTACTTGATAACTATCCACAATAAATTCTACAGCTATAGAATTAAATTCCCCACAGTCCCTCATGTCCCGGGAGCTTACGTTCATCAGAGGAAGAAGATTCTATAACATAAAAAAAAATAGAAATACTAGGTGGTATGTGACAGGAAAGAAAAAATAAAGCATGAGGGGCAGGGCAATGATTAGAGGTTACCACAGCATCAGGAGATTTTCTACTAAGAAGGCATTTGAATAGCGACCTAAAAGAAGCAAGGAAGAGATGATGTCAATTCCCAAAGAAGAGTGTTTTAAGCAGAAGAACAAGGACACGAGGCTGAAGGACCAAGAAAGAGAATATCATCCCAGTAAGGCAGAACTGGTCAGGGACTAGTTGGTGAGATGGTCAGAGAGGTGCAGGATCCAACCATATAGTTTCCTTCTGGGTTATCTAAGGAGTTTATAGTCCTAAATGGGATGTCTGTATCAAATTCCTTCCCTCAGAGCTTAGGGAACTCTGTGGAAGAGAAGGCAGAAAGACTGTAAGAACCAAGGGATGGAGGGCAGCAAGGACACGAGACACTCTAAATGCAGTAGGACTGAGGCATCTATGAACTCATAGACTACGGCAGCATGCACAGGCCAGCACTGGTCTGCACCAGATGGGGTTTTAGCACCGAGAGAAATGGACACCAGCCCCCATCACTACCCCAGAAGCTATCTCCACTTGATAACCACTTACAAATGAAGAAGTAGTTCTTTTCAATGGAGTCTCACTGGAGATACAAAACCTCTCTTAAGGGCAGGCCTCATGCCCAGCAGCAGATGTCAACACAAAGAACTCAATGGTATCTTTGGAGGATCCTTGTATTACAATGTTTTGTTAAGACATTTTTTTTAAACGTTACAGGTCGTTTGCACATAAATTATGGCTTCCACTTTTCATTTTCTATGGGAATCCTGTGTACACGAATGAGTGTGTTTTTGCATTTATCTATATGTGTTCCTTGTGCTTTTTCTTTGGGTTTTTCTTCTGTTTGTGTTGTCCTATTCTGGTTTGCCTGGTTTTGTTTTATATTATTTTATTATTATGCTTTAGATGACTGTTTTTGTTTGTTTGTTTTTTTGTTTTGTTTTGTTTTTCTCGAGACAGGGTTTCTCTGGGGAGCCCTGGCTGTCCTAGAAGTTGTTCTGTAGACCAGTCTGGTCTCAAACAGAGATCCACCTGCCTCTGCTTCCTGAGTGCTAGGATTAAAGGCATGAGCCACTACTGCCTGGTTTTTAAAGGAGAGACAGAAAGGGTGTGGATTCAGATGAGAGGGGATGTGGGAAGGATCTTGGAGGAGCTAGTGGGGGCACTGTAATCAGAATATAGTGCACACAAAAAGCCTGTTTTCAAGAAAAAAATTAAAAATAAAATATAGTCCTGTGAGGTGACTATAGATGACACTAATTAATGTATGTTTCCCAAAGCAAGGGAAATGTATTTTTAAAGTCTCTGTCATAAATAAATAATAAACGTTTAAATAAACATGTTTATCTTGATTTCAACTTACAGAATGTATAGATACACTGAAATATCACATGGCATGCATCTAATACGTATGTGTTTCAGTTAAAAATAAATTCATGCTATTCTGGAGATTTAGTTTAGTGGAAGAGTTTTGTCTAATAGTAGCTATACCTGCTACATATACTTTGTATTGCCAAAGATAAATACATTCAATTCAAATTTTAAAATTAGGTAAAATAAAGATCCTCACAGCAATGAAATGAAGAATCAGGTTCTCTGCTTTTTGGAGGAGTCAAGTGGGGCACTGAACAGATGGCATCTTACATCAACAGGACAATATTGCATTTAATCAAAATAAAAACAGAAATATGCAGAATGTATAGAATGTAAATTTTAGTTTAATAGTGAGAATTATAATAATTAGTCTTCATAAAAATGAACGATGTTACTTCTTAAAATTACATTTCTTTGTTAAGATATGAGCTCATGATATCAGGTATGCTATAAAAATATGTTGTGCATAAATTTGGTATTAACTGATCTGTAAGACAATGAACATTATTAAAATACACGACAGTGTTTTGCCTATAAAAAAAGTTTGGATTCTTGTTCTGAACAAGATGAAGTTTTTTGGAATGGTTTCAGCAGAAAATTATAACAAACAGATTTACCGTGTAGAGGATCACTGTGTCCAATGGGAAGGATGAAGTAGTTGGAACTAGAAGAGCATGAAGGAGATGGGTTTTCACTCAGGATGTGTCACCCATTTGAGGCAGTGGAAGTGTGGCTGATATAGTGTGCACCCCAATAAACTTATCTGGGGGTCAGAGAACAGAACAGCCACTATATTAAACATGGGTTTAGGCCGTGGTAGCACACGCCTTTAATCCTAGCATTCCAGAGGCAGAGATCCATCTGGATCTCTGTGAGTTCAAGGCCACACTGGAAACAGCCAGGCATGATGACACACGCCTTTAATCCCAGGAAGTGATGGCAGGAAGCAGAAAGGTATATAAGGCATGAGGATCAGGAACTAGAGGCTTTTAAGGTTTGTTAAGCTTTTAGGCTTTAAGCAGCAGTTCAGCTGAGATTCATTCCAGACCAGGACTCAGAGGCTTCCAGTTTGAGGAAACAGGATCAGATGAGGAATTGGCGAGGTGAGGTTGGCTGTGGCTTGTTCTGTTTCTCTGATCTTCCAGCATTCACCACAACACCTGGCTCCGAGTTTGTTTTTATTAATAAGACCTGTTAAGATTCGTGCTACATGGAAGAGATGACAAAACATGAGGGCATCTAGATGCGTTTCCAAAGCAGTGCCAGCAGATGTTATTTGGGAGTTTCCCAAATATTTGTAAATATGGGGGGGAGTATGGAAGGAAGGTGTCTACTCCAAGTCCCAGTTGGGTTCGCTTGGGAGCCTATAGGTTCAGAAGCACAGCCGAGGGCAGGGGCAGGATGCCAGGGCCAGCCAGAGCACAGATGGTATTGCTTTGGTTGTTCGAATGCAGGGATATAAATCAAAGAGCTGACTGCAGTGTTTTGAAGTGGGAGGATGTAGGGAATCAGAAAGGAGACAGGAAGAGTGAGCAGTGTCAGGGGAAATCTGGAGGGCTAAGGGGTTTCAATGTGTGTGGGGTGGAGGGGAAGTCTCCAGTATGCTGCTGGAGTATCAGATAAGATGTTTCCAAATAACTATCAATTTGACAAAGATAATCTATGACTTTGAGGAGAGGAACCTCCTCTTGAGGCGGTTAGGGGACAGTTTCACTAACACCTAACACGCAGCCAACAGAGAATCCCAAGGACACTGTGGCAGACTGGCCCCGGCTGAGGAGTGATGAGAACAGGAATTCCGTTGGCTCGATAGAGTTGAGATGAGGGGTACTTCAGCATATTTATCTATGTTAGAAA